ATTTACATACAAAATTCTTTTTGTTGCAAGGTTGACCTTATGTTTCAAAGAGATTCATACTTTCCTCTTTAGATAAGACTTTCTTTTAGCTAGAAATTAATTCGAAAAACAAAATGGGGTTAGTTAGCTAACTATAGATTAGTAGCAAATATGGGTGAGGAACGAAATTCCTGGGCTGACTTCGGTCAGTAAAGGCTAATGTAGTTCGCCGGGGCCATCCCCACGTTATTTACGCTATCCTGGATTATTGCGTGGGGGAAGAAATTTCGGCCGAAATGTCGGCCACACGAGTGCCTTCCAATGGGCTCACAGTTTGTTGCCAACACCGCTGGGGGTACTGAAATTCAAAATTTACTTTTTTTTTCAAACAAACCAAAGGTACCAAAACCTCATTTCGCCTTAACCTACCTCAATCAGAAATAAGCGTCCAAAATATGAATTCGCAATTATAACACAAAACCAAGCACTATTTATTGGCTTTGGTTTCACACAAAAAGAAAATTTGCACTTTTATGAAAATTTAATTTTCAAAGTTTAAGCTGACTTTTAATAAAGCGGCGTTCACTTTTCACTATAGTATTCGGGCTGATCGTTCTAAGTCAAATGAAGGAGAAAAAGAAGTGATGGTGTTTAAGAAGTCTGTCAGGTTAGCGGTCCCTTGTACATAAGTCATTGTGTGACCAACGGTATAGCCGCAGACTATAGTTCTCAAAAAAAACAATGTGTAAATAGGCATGTATGTATCATAAATGTCTTGGCACAAGCGACTTAGCGCGCTCACTCACAATTCTTTGCTTCAGGTTAGTTTTACAGGCGCCTTATCAGCGCCCTTCAGCGTCCCTTGAAATGCATCGGCTGATCGTCGCTCCCACGAACCTGTTTTTAACTATGTACATATTATCACGTCATCGATCGCCTGATTATCTTTACATACATACATTCATACATGCTTAGTGGCGAGCTATTATGCGGGAGTTGGTGGTATGTCTTCTTGTTATCATCAAGCGTAAGTACATAGTATCGTGAGCGGTTTGAGACTCGAAAACCCAGTGGTAAATTATATTGGCGCGTAGCCCTCACAAATTTCGTGACGAAAATTCTACGCATTTTTTAACTGCCCTGGAAACTGGCGGAAAATAGTTTTATTCATACGAATCGTTGATAAAGTTCTGATTTTTTATTTTGTGTTTCTAAGCGTTTGGGAAAATTTTAGAATGGTAACCCCCGATTACGGAATTAAGGAAAATAGGGGGGGTAGAGGGGGTTCTAAAGGGGGTGTATGTAAAGTTTTAAAGCGCGCAACCTTATATTTTTTAAGTAATTTGTTATTAAAGTTTGTAATTTTCACCAACTTGTATGGGACTATTTCACAATATATAATGCACTTTCCACTAAATTTACACGTTATTTACACTCAACATATGCGCAGCTAGAGTGTGCACGTTCAAACAAATAAATACTTTTAGTATATTACAGCTTTTTTATAATTTATTTATGCAAAAGGTGTTTGGCCCCTTTTCTTTGGCAACACAGAAAGGAGAATTCTACTGCCTGAGGGTTATAATCCCTAAGTGCGGCCGAAGGCCGCCTACGCAGAAAGGATAAAATTATAGAATATCTTTGGCGCAAAACAATTGCTCGTAAGCATGAGGACCCTTTCCTCAAACTTATTGACGCAATTAAATATACATATAAGCCTTAAAAATGTGTTTCAGTATTTTATGGGGGAATATGACCCCAATCGCCCTACTATTTATTTTTATCTGAACAAAAGAACCTTATCGTATTTTCCTTTTAATCGTATTTTATTTTGGTCTTGCTTTCCACTCTTGGTTTTTTAGATATGGCAACACAGTCCTGCTGCCATTTCCACATATTCTGCATGTACTCTCATAAAATTAAACAACAATGAATTTTTTATAAAAAAGCTGTAATATACTAAAAGTATTTATTTGTTTGAACGTGCACACTCTAACTGCGCATATATTGAGTGTAAATAACGTGTAAATTTAGTGGGAAGTGCATTATATATTCTGAAATAGTCCAATACAAGTTGGTGAAAATTACAAACTTTAATAACAAATTACTTAAAAACTATAAAGTTGCGCGCTTTGAAACTTCATACAGGGAACTATTAGACCCCCATCTACCTCCCATATTTTCCTTAATGCTGAACTCCGGGGTTAGCAATCTAAAGCCCACCCAAGCGTTTTTAGCAACTTATTTGAGAAAAATAAAAGATTTAGATTTTTTTTTGGATTATCGTTGATTTTATATTTGCTATCCCAAAATAATTGATAGCAAATAAAACATCCCTTTGAGGTAAAATTTTCGATTGACGAAAGCTGAATTTTCAGTTCGGCACATTTGCCTCTAAAGTCAACAGCTGATGAACTGTCATTTGGATGACTACGTCAAATGAAAAAGTAAAATAAATAAAAAGCTGCCAAATTTGAATTAAAATATGGAACGGCATCAACAAATCCAATTATTTTGCTTAGAAGTTCAAAAATTGTTGGCTATTAGTTAGATTAAACCGCTAGAATCAGAAAAGCAAAAGGTCAAGAAGCTGTGCTGTGCTTAAATTACTTTTGGACCGAGGCAAAGATGGGTTTTTTTTTTTCTCGCGCATACCAAAGATGCGTTTGAATGACGTTCAATCGTTTATAAATTTTCACCACATGGATTCGAAGACATTCGATGAGCTCCTTCACATTTTGGGACCCAACTTGAAGAATCAACCCAATAGATTTAATGAAGAAATATCACCAGGAGAAAGATTGACTCTTACTTTAAGGTAAACGCTTTAAGGAAATGATGTTTTTTGGAACAAATCTCCGGCACTCATTGCTAAATTCGATTTGGAGACAAAACAATTTCAGTTCATTTCAACTCCAGTGGTGATTCGTTCCGCAATACATAATATACATATTATTAACTTCATTGTCCTGCCCTTTTGGAATAGCCAGGCACAATGAAGCCCGAGATGAATTTTAAATGTGCGTCTTATAGTAAACAGGCTGTCTTTATAGATATTTAGCAAGTGGAGATAGCATGAAATCTGTTGGGTTTTATGGATTTCTAATTGGCGCTTCGACCACATCTAATATTGTAAGGAAGCCTGCCGACAGATATGGGAAAACTTACAATTCGTTTGAAGACATGTGGAAAAGTACTTCGGACGAATTCTTTTGGGAATGGGACTTTCCCAATTGCTTAGGTGCAATAGATGGGAAACATGTCGTAATACAGGTGTGTATATACTATATTATATTGTGTATATTATATCTGTGTTCATATGGAAAAGTAGCTTATGTTGAAAGGCTGGCTTTAGTATAAATCGGCATTCGCAGCATACGATTGCGAATGACTCACTGGCGGTAAGCCGTTGAACAACTTTTAGCAAATAAACGTGGAAGAAATAGTTCCGATACTAGCAAGTCAATATTCTTATTAAGTCTCATCAAAAAATTCCTTGCCGTTTAAAAAATAAAGGGATTGCCGCATTATACTAAAGCCAACCTTTCGACATAAGCTACTTTTCCATACGAACACAGATATATACAGGCATAAAACATGATTAAAAATACCAAAATTGCAGGCGTCTCCGAACCACAATTCGCTTACTTAGGCACTCCGCACATTAAGCTCCTAATCATAGTAGTGTAATCGTTTCGGCATACTAAAGTATAAAGCTTTTATGCCGAACCCATGTATTTCAATGAAGCCCTGTACATAGATTACGATTTAAAATCATGTTTGCACCTAATCATAAAAGCTTCATGTATCGAAGCGCCCAACATTGTAAGGCGCTTGCAGTTTTGAAATCGTCATTTGTTTACTTTTTTGTGTTGGAAATAAAATTTATTTGTCAATGCAATAGAAAATAATTGGAAATGAACGATTTCGTGCTAAAATTCGTGCAAATTGCATTAAACCACAAGCGTTTATGCAATACTTCGGAGCAGAAATATTTGCGGAAGTGCGTGTTGCGAATGGACGGCCAAAAAATTTGTTATGTGTAGAAATTAGGTATTAGCTGGTGACTTATGCATATGGTGACCATCCGTTCTGTTTTTTGCAGGACCGTACTGTTTTTCAAAGGTCGGTCCTGCGTAGTTTTTCAAACCTGAAAAACTTGAAAATGTACTGATTTTTTCCAAGTGTCCTGCATTTGTCCCGCATTACCGGAAAGTGGATGGATAATACATTTCTCTGCAAAAAATTTAAAATTGCTACCATGGTAACCCCAAAAAGAAAACATCTTGTTACTTTTCTCGTTTACAACTGGTTCGAAACTACAATTTCCAATTCCTATGACATCGCTGTGTTAAATTCGCTAGTTGTTTGCATGCAAAAGAGATTTATCGCGAACTAGTAGTGGTTCCAAATGTACTAGAAGCGCACCAGTTCAAAACTAGAGGTTTTCCCCACAGGGTAATGATATAAGCGCATAAAAGGATTCAGACTTTTGGAATTAAACTTTACATAAACATATTAAATTTCTCAATGGCCCCTATTGCGATTGTCAAGTCGTGGTTGATAGTTGATGATTATTAATCAATTTTACCAAATGGTACAAGATTCAATACTATTTTGTCAATTTCCTTGACAACTAGCAGTTATCAACCGCGCATCGCCAATCGCATAAAGTGCCAGTGTTTATGAATATATATACTCTTTTAACTATCCACTACAATTTTAATATATCATCACGGAAGAATCGAAGTATTCCCATTTCTGATTCCTTACGCATATGTACGTGTAAATGTATGTTTATGTCAATGTAATGGTAATATGTTGCTACGGTATCGGAAGCAACTTTTGCTCATCATACCATCGCATCAGAAATGGACATTGCTTACTCGGCATCCTCTATAAACAGTCGTAAAAAATCCATTTCCTGCAACAAAAACAAATCCATTTATTTTTGTGGGCGCCGCGCACTACCACTGCGCACCTTTGTATTTATTCTTCTAATAAGTATAAAAATTCACCTATTGAGCACACATATGTACAATAACAAAATATCACCTACTTGGTAGTTCAAGCGACTCGGCAATTTCAGCTCAAACTATTTGCTTCAATTTGTTATTTTTATATTCCTTCTGGCTGAAATCGTACAAAAATGATGGCGATTCCTTCCGTACCTCCACGAAGAGCTTTTTGAGTAGTCATAATCCTAAGAACATTCAAATTTTAAGTAATTATTATTGAAATAAATTACATTTACTTGGTCCTTGTGGCGATTGCATGTTATTTTTGTTTATTTTTCTTGAAAATAAAAACAACAGCAGGTCCCTTTTTACTTTACGTGTAACATATGTTGAAATTGTCTAACAAATATAAATATTTAATTATTTCATTGATTTTAGTGAAGATTTTAAACTTTAATTTACCTATATTTAATACGTCTTTCTTTCCGAATACCCGCTTTTAAGCTGCTTGGTTTGTGGATCTTTTATCCTTTGCTCAAACAGATCCGAAGCGATTGTGTACAACAAATGATTCCAATTTGAAAAATTTAGCCCATTTACAGGGAAACTGTCATTATAGTCAATGTCAACCTTAAAATAAATGTTTGTAGAATATTATTATAACATATTTTAAATTTATTTATCTGACTGGGGAAGGGTGGTGGGAGGTTGAAATTCGTTTTTTTTTATTCGATTTTATCCGAGTTTCAAAAATTCACCATTTTGGAGCTAAAATTCGATTAAAATTCGAATCTCGAAGCTTCGAATATCGAATCTACCCATCCGTATATCTCACATATAAACATACCAATTCAGGAGCCTTGGAGTATTTGTACAACGGCCACTCATCTAAAATTTGATGCAGCGTCATATCTAAGTTGAACAAACGATTTTTTTACGAAATTGTTTGCTTTCATTTCGTTAGTACAGTATCTCACAGTATATCTATACAGTATTGAGATCAGCACATATTTGATTATATTCTTCATTGCCAGTAGTTGTCATCATATTGCTCGTTTGCTCGGGGTTGCGATTATGTAGTTTCGGGCGCTTCGAATTCTGATCTAGTTTTGCAACGTACCGTTTTCGTCCTTGGTACCTGTCCCAAAGTTTGCCTTTTAGTGCCAATTTTTTGTTGGTTTGTGAGAAATATGCATCCTTTAATTAAAAAAATTAAAATTATTAGTGGTATTCATCTAAACCGATAACTTTATCAAGCAGATAATCTTATGCAGCGTTTTAGCTGCATTTAAAATGCACATTTAGCACTTTCGAACATATTTTTTCGAAGAGCGTTCATGCTATCGAAACCGTATGCTTTTGACAAGCGGCCGTGTTCCTGTCGCTTATTCAGATCCGTATCTATCACGATCAATTCGCACAGAGAAGATAATGTGCAAAAAACCCTACTGAAAAGGGAAAAAGAAATTTTAAACAAAAAGTTCAATACAAAAACTTTAATTGTTTTAACCATACCCGAAAATTTGTTTGTGTATATTTTCATTTGTTGGTGCTGTCAATTGAAATATCCTCAATTAAGTATGAATAAAACCCACAGAGTTGATCACTAATTGAGCCGGATATTTATCAGTTTCATATCGATGTTGAATTCGTGCAACTTTTCTTTTTCCAAATAATGTAAAATAATAAATGAAATCTCGATCGGCGATCACTGAAACGCAGCTAGCAACTTCATACGCGAAAAAGCAGTGTTGACACATTTTATCATTAAACCATGTTCGAATCGTGAAAATTTTGGAAGGTCACAGGGTTGCTTTTAGCATTTAGATTCTTAATGCAAAAATGGAGTTGCATTTAGTTGCATTTAGGTGACGAATTTTGTATGGATAAATGTACATTTAGAGTAGCATTTAGAGCTAAATGCGCTAAATGTGCTTTTACGCGTAAGCAAAAACAGCCCATTATAAGCTTATGCACTCTGTTACATGAACGACCCACACTCTCTTTTCATTTACACATGCGACAATAGTCGTGCTTTCTTTGGTTATAAAGCGCAGTGTCAATAACTTTATACTACTTGCACGGGGATAAAGAAATTATAGAAACTACCTCACTAAATTGGAAAAAAATTTATTTACGAGATATCTATTTAAATAAATGTACATATAACATAAAGGCTATTTATTTGAAGCAAGTTATAAGAAACAATGGCAGAATGTCTGTTTGTGTATGAATTCATTTGTCACGGCTACCAAACTTTGCGAATTATCAGTGAAACAAAACAAACAGACGGGATATAATAATTGAACCAGATCTCTATCAGGATCATATCGTTGTTGAATTTGCGTGCAAAATTTGTATGCGGATCCCGATTGTTGCCTAAGAAAACATAGCTAGAGTTGCATTGTCTTCAGTTTATCAAGTTTATTCAGTGAAATCGCTGGATAAATTTATCAGAAATGTGTAAACGAATTTCCATACAAATTTTGACAGTTCATTTATAAGATTTACACAATTATAAGTTTATACGGTTTACAATGCATTTATAAGGTTTGATGAATACCCTTATTAAAAAAAGTATTTATTCAGGATTCGGCATTAGAGCAACATGTAAACTTACGCGGCATTCTGTAGGAAATAAAGATGTTATTTGTCCCGCTAGATCTTCGCATTTCTTTACTGTGAGTTTATCGCCATGTCCTATAATTGACTCAATAACATAATGAACAATATATCGTCCCGTTTCTGCCTTACTCTCGTATCTGCAATAGAGGTATTTTAGAGAGTGTAAGAAAAAATGCTTAATTTCTTCCCCTAGGATACAATAAACGCATTTTTTACTTAATATTTCTGGTTCCACTAACAGTAGTGAGCACCCTCATTAAATCTTTGTTCTATTTTCAGATAGTGTGACGCTTAAACTGCTGTTATAAGTGGTAATCTTAGTTTCCCCAAAAATTGTAGATACGTGGTTAAGGCAGAAACGGGGCGATATGTTCTAGCTTGCGGCAAAGCATTTTAGTTTTTCGCTTTTGCTTGTTCAGAACTTAATAAAATGTTGTGAACACTGTGAGACTGAAAACAAATTTGTTTAATGCACCTCATGGTTTTTGGATGGATACTGGGTGCCATTTATTTTATGTACGTACATGATAAAGATATTACAACGTAAAACCATTGAGAGACAGTTTGATGTTTTCAAGCAATATAGTTTTGTTTAAGAGATTTGCGCTCACTTAAAGTTCTTACGGACTTGGGTTCATAAATTTCTTACGTAAATGCATCCCTGCAGGACTTCCACACTACAAGCATCCGTGCTGTAGTTGGAAGTTCGAAAAATGAATCTGCCTTCCAGCGTTACCAGCAGACACACTGAAATCGCCTTCCAGTGTGGCCTATAAATGTAACTTCCGCCTTACCATCCTTAGGCCTTCTGCACATTGGTCGTCCAATCATAGTTGCTTCATCGTCGCAATCATGATGCAACGATTACATGACGACTACACTTTCGCACACTCGGTCATGACATTTCTATTCATTTGGCGTCTAAAAATTCACTTGGAACAGGTGTTTTCTGTTTTTCTGGTTGATATTTTCGCGAAATATTTACAAAAACATGCAATTTTTAAACTTTAGACTGTGCTGCAACAATTCTAGACATCATTTTTCGGTAATATCTCTTCTTTTCTTTTCCTGAAATGTGTTATGTGCATGCCCACAGATACTTTTTACAATTTCGTCATATTTTATATTTAAAACGCTCACATTTACTGAATTTTAATGCAATTATCCACTTTTTAATAATTTCCACAGATTTTATGCAAAAAAATACTAATTTTTATACAACTTTAATGCAAATATTAACTTTTTCACTAATTTTTCCCCATAAAATGTAAACAAACAATGCGAGCACAACGATTAGCAAACGACAGTGCCGTAATTATCCGGTTCTGCATCTTCTACGATATGCCGATAACGACAAGTGTGCAGATCTTCTTTGAAATGCATGTGCTCGGCTCAAAATTTCAGGGCGAGACGATAACGAAACTATGATTGGACGACAAGTGTGCAGATAGCCTTATTCTTACTTTTTCAACCGGAGAACAGAGCACACGCAAGCAACGTGGGAAGTTGATACACCTTTTTTACTTTACGTCAACGTGGGATCTTGGCACATCTATTTTATATCCTTACAGCGTGGGAATCACCATTTCTCATTACCATTCATCCTCAGTCATAAGCAGGGAACGGATTTTATGGAAATTGCCTTTTTTTGTGCTAAAGAGATAGAGTATATTCGATTAAGAATGTCCACGATTTAGCTTTCCCTGATTCCATATATACACATTTGATGTTGCCTTTTTTTGCCTTTTTTAAGATATTTGCCTTTTTTTTGCCTTTTTTAAGATATTTGCCTTTTTTGCCTTTTCTACCTTTAAAAAAGTGATTATAGCATTTACATTTTTTTTTTAAGATTAAAAAATATACACATTGCCCATGCGGCTTATAGAAGCGCAGAGACCTCTTGCCAAATTGGTGTTGGAAAAATTCAAACCCGTTTTCTCAGCTAACGAAGGCTTGGAGACAATAAGGGGTGTTGATAGAATTATAAAGGGCGAGGAAAACGGATTCTGATTTTCCTCATTTTAGCCCCTCGCTCGCTCGTTATTTTGCTCTGAGCTTGCCCAACTCACGAGCAACAGGCGAGGCTGTTTGCAAACGAGCACTCGTTTAGTACGAGCGCACGCGGTGAGCAGCCAGCGAGCGAGTAAGCAAACGAGGGCAGCCCAAGAGTAGGGCGGCAAGCAAACGAGGACCTCATTAGCTCTGCCCTTGCGAGGGCGTCGTTGCGAGCGAGGCACTCATTTGCAGCAGCAGACGAGCGAGGCGAGTAAACGAGCGAGGCAATTGAAGCAAGCAGATTAGACATTGTTTGGTCAGCAAAAATGTATGGGATAAAAATTGCATCAACTAAGAATTTCGAGTAAAGGATTGTATGCACGCATGCAGATATGTATATACATACATACATATATACACATGTATACATTTATTTAATATTTAATATTTATTTATTTATTTCAAAAGTCAATAAACTACAAAGGTTCTTACTGACTAAAACAATACAGAGAACTAAAGTGCAGAAGGCACTAAAATAAAATTGAATTCAATAAACTATAAAATATATTCTTGGGCAAAGAAAAATCAAGCAAAATAGAATTCGAAATCTCGTTAAGTTCTCGAAGTGCACGCACTTTCTTGCGTAATTCGTACTTAGGGCCTTGAGGTAAAAGGGAAGATTAAAACTAAGTGTTCTCGCAGGAATAAGAAATTGAATAGCAAGCAGTAATGCGGGGCAATCGATTTCACCACTTACCAAGCCACGCACAAAAGACAAGGAAATAATAGTCCTTCTGCTTTCGAGGGACTTAAGGTTAATCAAAAGGAGGCGGGAATTGTACGGAGGGATGGGAGTGGGGAAATTGAGGGAAGAAAGGGCATATTTAAGGAAAACTTTTTGAATACGCTCAATTCTATCGATGGCAAATTTATGATGAGGTCTCCAGATGAGTGCTGCATATTCATATCATCATATAAAAGACGTGTAGAGTAATTTCAGAGTGTAGGGATCAGTAAAATTACAACTATTTCGACGAACAAAGCCCAACGCAGCATATGATGTAGATATGATAAAATTGATGTGGTTATTGAATAAAAAAGGCGCATCGAAAATTACATCAAGGTCTTTGATCTCAGAAACTGACTGAAGGGGAGTACCAGAGATACTGTATGACGTTTGCACATCGTTACGTAGTTTGGAAAACGTTACGTGATAACACTTGCTAATATTGAGATGTAGGTGAGACCGACAACACCATAAGTACAATCTATTTATATCTAATTGAACCCTAGAAGCATCTTCAGAACTCTTAATCGAAGAAGAAACTTTTAGGTCATCCGCGTAAAGCAAGAACCTAGAGAACGAAGAACAAAGAGTAAAGGTCCTAAGATGCTACCCTGTGGTACGCCAGATGATGCAGTAAATGGAGTAGAAGATACCCCCTCGATTGAGACCACGCAGCACCTATTACATAAATAAGAATTCAGCCACTTCAGGAATATAGAGTGGAAACCCATCGTGGCAAGCTTGCGCAACAGAATGCAATGGGATACTTTGTCGAATGCCTTGGAA